CCAGCTCGCCAAGCTGTTCTCGAACAAATTTGCGAGCCAAAGGGAAATCAAGTGCATAGCAACCGAGCTTATGCAAGTTAACCAGAAGGAAGGGGAGTCCTTGAGGGATTACATGCAGCGGTTCAACAAAGCCACATTGGACATTGATAATGTCCCAGACACGATCTGCCTGTCCGCCCTGTTGCATGGGTTGAAGCGTGGCCGGTTCCTAGACGACCTGCTTGAAAACCCACTGAAGACGTGGAACGAGGTGAATGACAGGTCGGCCAACTTTATACTGTTAGAGGACTTTCAGTCGTCCAAGCGACGAGCTGATGATAAGCCGAGCAGAGGCCAAGAACAACAACCAAGAAGAGAAGAAAAGAAGAAGCAGAAGGTGGGTGAGCAATGGGGGAAACCAGCTGAGTTCCCGAAATATGCCAGTTATATTCCTTTGACCTTACCCAGGTCTTAAATCCTGGCACAAATTCAGCACTGGGTTCGGAGACCTCCACCCCCACTACATGATTCCCCGAGGGCAGATAAGAGCAAGCATTGTGACTACCACCGTGTATATGGTCACAATACCAAGGACTGCCAACACTTGAAGGACGAATTAGAGTTTTTGGCTCGTAACGGGAAGCTAGAAGGGTATGTTCAGAAGCCTCACACCCAGCAACCCACTCAAACCCATTTTGTGCAGGCGTATGACCGACCTCAAGGACAGAGATACCAGCATGGGGGGACGCAAGATGCATATCAGGATAACCAGTATTCTTCTGAACAGAGCAGAGCGTACCGAGGACGTCCTTTCAACAGGAGAGGGCAGGGACCGAGAACCACTGCCCCGAATCAAAAAGACAGAAAAGGGGTAGGCTACGCTGGGATACCCCCACCTTCTGGTACAATAAACATGATATCAGGTGGTGTTCACTCTGGGGGCCAAAGCGCCCGAGCTCGCAAGGCATATGCCCGACAGGTGATGATCGACAACAAAAACAGACCCTTGAAACGGCCGTTTGAGGAAGCAGAATGGGAAAATACGCCCATCACATTCAGCCCGGCAGATTACAAGCGAGCAGAAGGAGAGCCTGACATTATGATGCCCCATGTAGATCCCTTTGTGACAACAGTTCATATAGGCAATCATAATGTCAATAAGGTGTTTATCCTGTATTGGGGTTGCTTCCAGAAGATGCAGCTAAATCCGAGCTCGCTGCAGAAGCACGAAGGACCAATATACGGGTTTGATAACCAGCCCGTCCCTATTGAGGGAGTTATTACTCTTCCCATATATGTAGGCTTAGAACCACGCTTCAGGATGGCTTCGGTCACCTTCCTGGTCGTTAAGATGGAATCAGCTTTCAATGCTATACTGGGAAGAGCCACACTATGCGAGCTGAAGGCTGTTATCTCACAGCCCCACCTCTGTATGAAGTTCCCAACTCCTCAGGGGGTAGGAGTGCTGAAAGGAAATCAGAAGATGGCTAGAGCCTGCTATCAAGACACGTTCAAGAAAGTCGAGCTCGCTGCAGCCCCGGCGAGTGTTGAGGGTT